GTTCGCCGCTCCGGTGACTCGTGAGAGGGCGCTGAGTGGCTGCGTGAGGGGGGCGGCGAGCAGGCCTTGCTCTCCTCGGTTTTAAAACCGCTCCTTCCTGTGGCACGGTTAGAGCCTGCTGCCTTCCGATGCCTGTCGCGCGCCGCGTCCTGCCTTCACCGGGTGCAGGCGCTTCAGAGCAGAAACTTCCTGTTTTAAAGCGCTTCTGCACTGTTGGTTAAAGGGAAACTCATCTTCTTTAACGTGCCCAAAACCAACCCAGACCACCCGTGTAGCTGGAGACAACACCTACTGTTAGGTTTAAGCCATGTATTTAGGTTATTAAATGGTCCGTGTGCCTCGTTGTGCAGGTAATTGCACCAGGTAGACAGACTTCTCTCACCCAAACAGGTAAAACATAATCGTTCTCTAAGAAAATTACAGACCTTGTCAAACTCCAAAGATTTGTCAGTCTGTAATAAGCTTACATGGGCTAGACTTATTAAATCTTGCTTAAAGAGGATTGTATGGAATGTAAAATAAATACAGAATCTCTGTACACGTACATGTAAATGCGGGTAGAAGCATGTGAGAGAAAATACCTTGAGGAGCCTTGTATTTGCCTAACGGAGGGATGGAGGTGGCCAGAACATCCAGCCGGCTGGCTGCTAGCTCTCTGCACCAGGCTAAAAAAGGGCGTTTTGTTCGGAAAAATCACCTCACGAACCTGGCATGTTGTTTCTGAACGCGCCCGTGCCTCGTCTTCCATTAGGGACACAGCTGCTGGCCCGGCTCTGGCGCAGCATAGGCGTACAGACAGCTTTCTGCAGGTAGCTGCGTGGGATCTCCTCGGTCTCCGCCGTGGCCGTTGGCTGCCCGTGTTTCTCCACAGCACTGAACCCCTGTTGTTGCTGTTTACCCTTCATACACCTCAGAGTACAGGTACTAAATTCTAGCTGCAGCAGAGATAACTTACCCCAACAGTCCCAGCCAAAAAGCGGTGGTAACATTTTAAAATCATTCATGTGCATTGGTGTGCATTGGAAAGGCTTTGTAAGTAGTGTTTCAGATGAGCATGGAGAAGCCGTAAATGTCTCCTCAGCGCCTGTGTGATAACCATGGTACCCACACCGCTGCGGGTTCTGCGCCTGCTCTGGGCAAAACTGTTTTGGAAGAGTTGCAACAAGGCTTTTTTGAAACATATATTGGGACTGCTTGTTTATTTAGTAGAGTATTTATTCTGCACCCTCTGAAGACTTTGGGTTCAGCTGCAGAGAGCTTTGGGGCTACTGGTACAAACTGGGATGGTTCTGCAGAGTCAGAATGCAGTGACCTGGCAGAGGAGTGACACAGAAGCATGGTGCTGGTGGCAAGGAGTAGAATTTGACCGTACAAGAAATAAGGCTTCTAGGAAGTTCAGATATTTAAATTCTGAATACTGTAAAAGCCAGTTTCTTACAAGGCAGGCAGTTCCTTACGCCATCTTTCTATGCTGGAAACCATCAATTTTTCTTTACATAAAACTATATGCCCTATAAAACTTTCTGTTTTCTCTGCAGCCTTGAAGTTTCTGTCTAACCACATGGGCTTGTGTGAAAGTTGAAGAAAGTAAAGAAAACATGATAAAAGTTCAATTCCCTTTAGATACTATATTGTGGAATAGCAGGAAGGAGAGCTGCCATTGTTTGGTGCACTTAAGAACAGGCTCTGAGTGTGACCAGTACAGCTACACTGGGCAATCTTCTAACACTGTAGTCTAGGCAGCTTGGAAGATGTTTTCTACTCCTGTAAAACTTGCTTAATGTACAGATTGAATGACCGACATAAATAAAAAAATCAGAGTTATCCCAGAGGTGCCAAGGCAGTTGCAAAGAGAAGGTAGCTTCTAGGTCTGGAAACCTTTCTTTCTTTCTCATCAGCTGTAATTAATAAAATCACGCCTTTCACACTGTGACACAAAGACCTTGACAAGAAGTGTGGGCAGCTCTCTACATCTCTGTTTGGGGGTAACAAAAATAGACTACAGATCATCAGGCTTGCACTTTGTCTTCGTATTTGTTTGATCAGTTTGACAGCAGGGACTACACCTATCTGGAGCCTTTTGGCACAACTGAAACAGTAAAAAAGAAGTTGTGAAGGAGCTGTCCTGTCCCTTCGTGCAGTCACACTGTTTTGTGTCTTTCTGTTCAGCTTCCTTGTGTTTCTGAGGTACCAGATTTATTATGGTTACCCTCTGCAGACATACCTGGAATATCCCATCATCATTACACAAGGTAATGTTTTTAAGCCATGTTTTGGAAATAAAACGGGGCTCATTCAGCACTCCAAGACTTGTAGATACAGTACTCCACTGCGATGACATGTATCCATTGACCAGTTCAAGCTGGGGTCGGCGGGAAGAAGGAATGAACGTCTCAAATATAATTAAATTCCTGTTTTATGAAAACAGATGGTCAGGTAGAGGAGAAAGATCTAACTAATACACATGGAGTGGAGTTGCAGTGTAAGCTCATCCTTTCTCCAGTGACTCCACATGGGAGAGAGACCTTACAAATGCTCCAGATTCTGAGAAAAGTTTCATTTTGGAGCTTGCAGTGTTTTGGACATCAATCAAATTTGAGAGACAAACCTGTAAGAAACCAGTTTCCATAGACGTGGTGCCCAGTGAAACTACTTCCTTCTGTCTAGAATTGCATTCAGGGCCTTTCTCTCCCTTCTCTGACAAGCCATCTCTTATTTATTTCAGATGTCATTCTCCTTTTGTTTATTCTGCGTTTCAGTGGAAACACGAAACGAGCTTTGTTCTATGCAGTCCTGTATCCTTTGAACTCTGGGAATTTTGGTTTATGTAGCTTCTTTGGTAGTTCTCTGCATAGCAGCTATGTCATCATTCGTTTTGTGCTACCCTTGTAAATCATTTTCAGCCACTCCTCAACATACATTCCACACTTACATGTGGATTTCTTGGATCACAGTAAAATCTCTACGAGAAGTAAGCTTTATATGTAGCTATGCTTTAGAAGGCCCACAGCTGATAAGGAGTAAGACCAATTCTTAATTTACATCTTTGCTAGAGGTGCAGGGTGGAACTGATGAATCTTTTTTCTTTGATTCCTACCCATGCAGATTGCACTTGCTATGATGAACACAGCAGTGTATGGTGTGGTTGTTTTTTTTTAAAGAGGACTCGGGCTTAAATCGGGCTTAAATCTCATCTCGTGCTTTGGAGCAGGTCTTGAGAAATGCCAGGCACTGTTCAACCAAAGACCATGTGAAAAATAGGAACACTTAGTGTTTCAACAAGTGCTTAATATATTTTATCTAGATTGTATAGTCTGCTATAAAGTTGCAATAAGATTATTTCCAGATGTTTAAAAACATCTAATTCCCCAGGCAGTTTTGAGAGCTTTGCTATCCTAGAATTTTCAGTGCTTTGAAACTTAACATAATATAAGCTTCTGGGGGGGCTGGTACATGCTAACACTGCGGAAGTGGATAATAGACCTGGCCATGGTAAGTGCTGCATAATTATTTAAAATTAGGTCCCCATATGAAATGGCTTTTTTTCTGGATGTCTTTATTAGTGAAATCTCTCCTTATATTTGTTTTTGGAGGAATTAATCATGTGGCTTAGCTTTCAGAACAAGCCCAATTTTCAAATACAGCTGTTTCACTTCTGTGAGTAGCTGGAAAACATAGTACTGGCAATAGAGACTCTATGGGGAAAAAAAAAAAGAGTATGTTCTGAGGTAAAGTTGTTAATTTTGGTGCCTTAATTAAAACTAGCAAAGGTTTAAGATGTTGAAAAAGAGTGCTTCTTTAGTCCTAATGTCACAATCTCCATTAATAAACCTTTAACATGAGAGGAAAAGAATAGAGCATCAGTCAAAGCATTTGAAATAGGGAAAGTTAAATATTTCACAAGATCTTTTTTCCCTTTAGTCCTAGAATTTTGCAAGAAAAATATAATCTGATAATGCCCTACATATGTTAAAGATGGTCTTTGCCCTTTTTATCAGAAGAAAGTTAAAATTTAATTGTGATGAACTGGAGTTGCTAATGCAAAAGATGATACAAATGGGGATAAAAGCTTCTAAGCCTAACACCAGTCGTTCCTTGCATGGGAAATCCAGGCATGCCAGAGACCCATATGGAGGTCCCCTCTACCCGCTGCCTTTGCAGAATCCTGCTTAAAAGGATGACAGGGTGAATAGTCTGTTCCCTTCATTATTTTTTCCCACCAATTGGACTCATTTTCCACACATTCTTGTCAGTTTTCTCATTCTTTTATGGTTTTGTTTGCCAGACATAATGGTAACAGATGGTCTGAATCAACCTTGCTGTTTAGACTAGATCAGTCTCATTTTAGCTAACTTTCATAAACAGTTTTATGTAGCAGGTTGAAAGTTTTTTTTATTTCTTTGCTTCTCATTGTATTTGCCTCTGTCAAGCATTTGCCAACAGCAGTAGCGATTGTTGGGCTCTTTGAGCTGCTTCCTGGGCGGTACCTCAGAAATCAGTTCCTCGCTTCTGGCAACTTTAATTTTTTGCTTCACGGTTCCTTAGTAAGAAGCTGAAATGCTTGGGTTGCAAAATACTGAAGAAGTATATTTTTTTTGTTCTAAATGAAAAAGCTAGTCCTGGTTTTTAGTCAGTTACATACTAACAGCCGTAAGCCAAACACTCGGATAATACAATGGCAGAGGCAGTTCTTTCTCTCTTTTAACCTGCTTTTCAGAACTTGTGCACGCTGATCAGTGCGGCCAGTAAGCTGGCTCAGCTGCGGTGTCTCTGGCAGACAAAAGATTCTGGACAAGTGAGCGCCTTGACCTGGAGTATGGCTGCATATACCTCCGCAAGTAAGCTATGGGCAACTTGGTGCGAAGCACTGAGTTTTCATTTTTTAAAGCCATATCTCCTCCTAATGCCTCTTTCACTAGATCTTCACTCAGTCGCGGTAGGTAAAAGTCTTGCCTAATGTAGTTTCCCTTAGTGCCGACTTCTGAGACTCGGATACCACACAGTCTCTTGAAATCAAGTTTTATCCTTGACACCAGCTCAGTCACAATGACACTTTGACTTAGAAAACCTGCAAATACAGTTGAAATACCTGAAAAAAAGTGTCTTTGCAAAGAAAAGGTTTCAATGTTCTAGGATTTAATAAAATTACTAGTGATCCAGCATGAAAAGGTGCTAAATTTTGTAGTCAGACAACGCTAATTCTGAAAAGTAATCTACAAATAAATAGATACTCAATGCTAAATACCTTTATGACTACATGTAAATACATTTCTCAGCAGAGGAGAATTTAAGAACGTACCAAGACGAGTCATTTCTACAGTTCATGTGTTAATTACCTAGTGGTCTGCATGAACAGTTCTTCTACAGCTATTTGTCAGAAGTGCCTTTGTCATATTCACAAAACTTGTTTAAAATATTCTTACTATAAAACATAGCGATGCTGGATCTATTTCCCTGTGAAACAAATGCTTTTAAGTCAATAATTAGAAGTTGTGGTATGTTCGCTGAACAATGGCAATAAACTTTGTAAATGGTTTTAGTCTGCTGCAAATGTGAGATAATTAATGTTTAGATTTGTTGTGGGAAGGAAAGCTGAATTCCTCGTATTTGCAGAAGCCTAAAAGCATGCATGTGAACATTTACAATGGTGTAGTCATGCCAGCGCGACTGTGGGTGTAGCTCAGTCTCAACTGCTGAAGCAGGCAGCTGAACAGAAAGAGAAGCAGTAAACTCTGAGCACATCCAATCTACTGAGACAGATATAGATATAACAATTCTAATTAGATCAGTGATTTTCTCATTTAAAGAGACTCTTAATACAGTGTCAGGCAGCTTTGAGAGCTTGATCTCTGAAGCTAAAATAGTGAAGAGTAGATGCACTGAAAGTGGGGAATGTCTATACAATCTATATTTTCATGCAAGATTATCCTCTATTGAAAAATAGATTATATTTCATCATTTTTTTGAAGGTATAAACGTGTCGTATCTAGTCCACTAATCAGAATTCATTCAATTTACAGCAAGAATAGTTACAACTGTAGTGACTACAAATGATCTCGCAGGTGAGTAAAGTACGGAATTGCCCACCTTTCCAAGAGAACAGCTGCCATGGTCGTTTTTAGCTCTTCTGTAAAAGCAGTTATCTGGTCACAGAAGAACAAACCATGACCCTGGTGGTTTAGCGTGGTGAAGGAAGGAGTTACTGCTAAAGAAGTAGCACAGGGTTACAAATCAGTCAAATGCCTGGAGAAAACAAAAAAACCTGCTTATGCTGATCACATGGTGACGAGTGGTCCAAAAGCCATTATTTTTTTCAAAAGGCAAAAGCACTACAAAATTAACTTAATTATGAAAATAGCAGAATGAAGCATTAAAATCTTTAATATTTAAATACATAAATAAATAAATTTAGTAAAATACAACTTAATAAATCTGTAATAATTGAGAATAAATCTGTAATAATTGGGTGATAGATTTTCAAATAATAAGTGTTTCCTTATTGTGGGGTTTGTGCATTAAAAAATTCTTCTAGAAAACTATTTAAAGTTAGGCTTAGTATATGAATAGTTTTAGGCACAACATTCAGAAAGTTTATGGCAGGCTGAAAATGAAATGGTAGGCTGGTAAGGAACTCACAACAAACTGGCTTAAAATATGTAATTTGCAGGTGATTTCATTATAAAGCAAATTTATTTAACAGCTTCTTACCATCCTGACAAAACTGAAAGAGCTAAGGAGTGCAGCAGATTTTTCAATAAATGGTTCGAAATCAAGAGTTTCTGGATGTAAGAACAGTAACAAAATGACATTGTACTTTATTTGGCAGATCCTTGTTCTAGTTCAAAACTGATATTTCATCAGAAACATCATTTGAATGGATTTTTTTTTTTTTAAGCAGTCCTCTGCAGCACAATAAGGCTCTAGTTTTACCAGCAGTTTGAGTGGCGCTTTCACTGGAAAAGGAAGTCCCCTTTTCAATCAGTCGTTCCCCCCCGCCCCGTCCTTGCTGCTTTCTCTTTGCCAGAGTAAGAGTTTTGGGGCCATGCAGTTAACCGGATCACCAAAAAATTGGCATAATGCACACGCAGAAATTTAGTCCAGGTCAGTTATCGAGTCCAGTTCACCCCCGGCTACACCCTTACGCTGATTAGAGGTGCGAGAGGTACATTGAGGGGAGGAAGGAAGGAAGGAAAGCACCATGAAAGTAAAAAGCTGGCTCTTGAAAGTAAAGCTGCCTCTGGCTAAAGCTGCTTTTTAAAATATAGCACAGTAGTACACTTTGGAACATGGAAGAGATGGCAGCATTGGTACGGCGCTGCTCTAATGGAAAATGTTTCCCGTTAACTTCTAACACTGAACACTTCAGCATGTTCATCTTGGTTTCATACACATGTATGGAACTGTCAAATATCACATATTTCTGAAACAAAGTTTTGTGTACATGCCTGTGAATATTCCATTTACCAAATGGATATTAGATATACCTATACTTCAAACTGTGGTCTCACAGGTAGAGATACTATGCTTATTTTGGTTTAAAAAAATCTGAAAGTTAATCAAGATACTGAAAAACTGTTTTTTTCCTCAGTTGTCAGATTTCCTCTCATTAAAATCTGTCAAATACAAGTATTGCCTGTCTGCCTGAAGTCTAAACTTAACAGATGGCAGTAGAGAATAATCCCTTTATTATGAACAACACATGCAGCTATAAAGGATGTGTGAGCTGTGGCTCCAAGTTTAATTTCAAATGTAAATATAAATTTATATGAGGCTACTCAAAGTTGTACTATTCTCCTGGTTTTGTCACAAAAGAATTAGAGGTACTGTAGTGTGTTATTGTCAGATATCACTCGCAAGTGCTAAATGCTCTTCTCGGCTATATTTACTTTGAGAATTTCTGGGTTCCTGAACATGGTTAATTTGAAGTAATTGACTGAAAAGAGTTGCAGCATGGGAACCAGCCTGTTTGTTTGTACACCAGCGAAGGTTTACAAAACGTCTTCTGAAAATGACAGCAGTTGATTTTTTTGGATTTATGCTTACAAGATGTTTTTTTCCCTTGTAGTTCTCATCCGTTTCATAACCATGCTCATTCTCAATATTTGGGTCACAGCCACAATCCTGCACTACAGGAAAACTAAAAAGACTGATTAGAAGACACTCATCAGCACACAACATAGCTACCACCAAAAAAACCTGATACAATTATGGTTAAACAACAGAACCAAGGTTGAAGAAGCTCTCTCTCTCTCTTAAGCCTAGTATTTATCCCTAAGCATACTTAGTACAGTCATGCTTATTTTCTCTTAGAAATAATTCTGATAAGATACTTAATTTAAGCAGCATATTTTTATTAGTCATTTAAGACAAGTTTCACTGATACCACATTTTCTCTGGATTTTTTTACTAAATGAACAAGGTATTTCGTATTTAGATGTTTATATATTCTCGTATCACTTCAGTACTTTCTGGTTACATATAAGCAATTTTCTTCAATTATACAAGAGCAATTTTGTACCAACATATCAACTCATCTTTCCGCATCTGCTGCGAGTTTGAAAAACAACAACAGATGTTTGCCTTCTTGCAAGCAATTCAATTAGTTCGACATTAACTATCTGTATTTTAGGCTGAAGAACATCTGAGTCAAGGCCCCATTCAAAATAAGGTTCTAATTACTAAGTCACAAATCCAGCTGGGATTGTAGCGCTTACATGCAACACTTAAATAGTACAATTTATACAGCTGATACAGGATACCCATGGTCACTTTCTTCGATATATCCAGTTTTTATTAGGATAAGAGCAAAAACTCAACTATGAATTCTTCGTTTTCAACCTGAGCTCTCATTCACTGAACATACTGTTTTGGGAACAGCAGAGACTAGAACGTATAGAAATTAATGAAACTTTGACCAACAGAGTTAGAAATTGTGTTCGAGCAGAAGTTCCCGAACCGATACCCAGAGTCCCCAAACGCAACCCGTGCTGACAGTGGCCCGTGTACACGTGCACCTTGATGCATCAAAGCAGACTCCTCTCCAGTGGTTAGCAGGTTTTGAGGATACTGCTCTGTGCTTTGTTAGTTTTTAGCCTGTCTGTGCTGAAGACTTCAATTTTTACTTTGGAGATTTTAATCCATTTGTAGTAGGTATTTTAAAAAGGCGAAAAGGATATTCTTGAGAACTATTAACGGGGGATTTTGCTTTTGGAAGTAATGCCTTTCCAACCAAAAGTTACAGAAGTAATCACATAGCTTGCCTTCATTTCTCATTACGTTCTCCAAAATGACAAGATATGCCTTTTCAAGAGAGTTCTTACAGTATTACTGTTGATTGGCATCTTAAAACCGAGGCACCCTTGAAAACTGTGGGAAGACTGCATTGACTACATTTGAGGCAGGTTTTCCTTGCAACATGCTAAATCATTGGACTCTTGTGGAAGAGCTGGATCTGGATGTTTCCGCCAGCGTTCCCTCAGCAATCGGACCGAGACCCTCACCGTCAGAAAACACAGCTGCTTTGTAAACCCTGGTTTTAGAGCGGGCAGGGGTGGGAGGAGGTATGTCAGTGGACATAGGATTTCATGTATCTCACGTTACTGAGAGCAAGTTCAAAGATGAGTATTTTTTACTGCTCCAATAAAATGTATAAATGTTTCTCTGTTGGTTGAGAGAATACCCGTAAACATCCTGTTACTGATTTTACTAAAGCTGTGTAAAATATCTGAAGCGGTCTAAATGGTGGCAGGTGGCGTGTGATACATTTTCCAGGTCATATTAATAAATGCTATTCTTCGTAACTGATTAATGTCATTCTTAGAGTTGATTTTCATTCCATTTAAATTTTTATTCTGTTTCCATATATGGAGAGAAAATGAAATATTCATTACAGGTCATTAATGGGCAGCTTTCACGTTACTATCTGAAGCATTGGGCTGTATATGAACCTGTAAAATGCTAAAGAGCTCCAGCATCTTAAATGAAAAAACCACACTTACTTCTCATCTTGTTTTTTTTTAATTAAAGCCTCTTCTTGATAGAGAAAGATCCAAACCCTGTCTGTTATTGAGATCTTTCATACTCCTGAGTGATGCTGTAGCAAAATGAAGACACTCCATTTTCAGTTTGAGGATCAACACTTCAAGGTGGGTTTTTTTCTGTCATAAAATGCTGAAAATGCATTTAAGAAAAGTTCTTTACAGGTTACTTAGAATAAATCATCTTAGAAACTTGCGGGGAAAAAGAATGAGGAAAAGAAACAAAGCTGAGTAATTCACAAGCTTAAGGTAAAGTAATTTTGTGGACTTGGAAAGCTGGACCATGAGTTCTCATTCAAGCTGCAAGAGATATGGAACAAATCGGAAGGTAGCAGTAAATAGTTTTACACACTTCCCCC